AGAGGGCTGGCCCAAGAAAGCCTGCTGTAGGACTTTGTGATTCTGCTGGGGACTTGGGGAAGAACCCCCACTAGGAGGGGTTGCGTGTGAAAAGGAGAGGGCCCTTCGCTCAGCCACTGCTGAGAGCCCCCAGCCCGGGAAGGCGCCTTCTTCAGTGGAGGAGGTGTGGGGGCGCAGGGAACAGCCGCAGCAGGTGCTTCTCCATGTGGAGTCTGGTGCCATGGGGGAAGCCCGGCTGAGCTGCAGGGGGCAGGTCCTCTGCAGGGCAGCACGCAGCTGTATGGGTTCCACACCTGCGCCACGGTTGGCAAAGCACAAGTCTTGTTACGGGTGAGTGAGTGATGTTCCCCCAACCGTGTGCCGAAGGCCTGATGCCCAGGACCCCAGAATCGACCTCACTGGGAAACAGGGCTTTGTCTGTGTGTGTAGTGAGGCTCTGCTGTAGCGGGGTGGCTCTGGTCCACGGTGATGTGTCCTTGTGAGAGGGACAGGTGGACACAGATGGGAAGGGTGAGAGCTCTGCTGCCCAGTTTGGAACAACCCCCCATGGCCTGACAGTCATGGCTTTACAAGTGCTCTGACTCCATGTAATGTACAGGGCCTCACTCTGTCGTCCAGGCTGGCCTTGACTCACTGTGTAACCTAGGCTGGCCTCAAACTTGTGGTGATCCTCTTCCTCAGCCTCCTGAGTGCTGGGTATGCAGGCGTGTGCCACCATGCCTGGCTCCATGCCTAGTACATTTGAATTAAAAATCAAAAATAGAACCCACTTTGGTGCTTCTTTGGAGTGTGGTCCCCAGGGGATGAGGGCCCAGGGGCCTGTGGTGTGGGGTGAGGGAGGAGGATGGTAGGAAGGACTTGGGCCCTGCCCTGAGCCTAGGAGGGCGGCTGGGGAACAGGGTGCTGGGTTGTCGAGGAGAGAGGGAGGAGTGGGCTGGAAGTGTCGGTGATGGAAATGGGCTCAGAATTGGGCCCTTCATGTGGGACTGTTCGTCCTGAGACACCCCGGCACATGGTCCTCAGCTCTTGCAGGCACCCGGGGCCTGGGGTCCACCTTCACTGGACAGAGGTGCTCAGTCCTGTCACCTGAGCCAGGTTTCTCTCACCAGTCTGCCAGTCTGCCCTGCTTCCGCCTCGGCAAGGCAGACTTCCTGCCAGCTCTCACTCTCCTGGCACCTCTTGCTCAGCTTGTGGTCTTGGTCCCCTTGTCACCCCTTGCAGGGGTGCTTGTCCCTCGGAGCAGGCCACCTTGCTACCGATGGCACCTCGCTGTCCTCATCCTTCTCACGGCCATCTGTCACTGTCTCACTATCTCACTTCTTGCCTTTCTCTTCCCTTGCTGGCTTCCGCCCTGGACCTGCACAGGGCTGCCGGAGCGACTGTCCCAGTGGTTCTGTGTTGTGTAAGGGGAGACTGGTTTGCCCCCTTGTAGGTTGATTGTGTCCTACCAGAAGCCGTATTGCAGTCCCAGCCCCTAGCACCTCTAAATGTGATCTTATTTCGAAGTAGGGTCTTCACAGATGTAATTTAGAAACCCAGATGAGGCTGTGGTGGATTACAGTGGGCCCTTACCCAGTCACCAGTGTCCTAAGCAGACAGGTCCTGGAGAAGGTGCATAACCATGCAGTGCAGATGCCGCTTTACCAGTGTGTGCCCAGGAGTGCCAGGCCTCCCAGGAGCCACCAGGGCTCGAGGACCAGGACTGAGGGCCACCTCCCCTCATTAAGCCCTCAGTGAGGCAGCCTTGGGCATGCACTGGGTTTAAACCCGGGCCTTAGTAACCATCTCTGCTGTGCCTTCCTCCACCTTGGAGGAGATCCATGTTCTGTGCTGGATCTGATTGCTCCTAGCCCCTGCCCTTGGCTTCCAGTAGAAGGAGGGGCTGCTGGCGCCTGGCGTAGTTCCGTTCCTGAATTGTGGCTCTAGGTGAAGTGCAGGGGATGGGACCCTGGGTTGTCTGTACTGAGCTGTCCTGCAGCCTGTGAGGTGCTGTGTGCGCTGTGTGGGCCTGTGGGCCTGTGGGTTGTGCTGGGCATGCTCTTTCCTGTACACTGTCATCCAGCAAGCCCCTTGGGAGCGTATTTACAAGGTGTTTTATTTATTTATTTATTTTTGAGATGGCCTCACTGTGTAGTTCAAGCTGACCTTGAATTCACTTTGTAGCCCAGACTGGCCTCCAACTCATGGAGATCCTCCTGTCTCAGCCTCCCAAGTGCTGGCATTACAGGCATGGGCCACCATGCCTAGCACATTAGGTTTTGAGTTATCTGTCGACAGAAGATGGTGGTTCTGCACTTCCTTGCTGTTATCTTTAGTGAGCTGCAGCTCTGGCAGATGTCCACATGTCATGTCATCATGGGCAGTGATGCAGTCAGGGATGTGAAGCTGGTGTCATCTCAGTGCTCAGTCAGATTTGGGGTAGTTTCCTTGTGTCGGTTTCCTGATCTGTGCTCTTGTGTTGCATCTGGTCCCCTCCAGGGAGGACACGGCCTTATTCTGGCCTTCTGCGACCCCGATGCTGCTGCAGGCTGGGTACTTGGCTGAGGGGACCTTGCTGGGTTTGCTTAAGGTTTCCTCCTGACAGGGTGATGGTCCTTTCCTTTGTCAGGGTCCCATAGTGGGCTGTGTCCTCTCCAGCTTGTAGTCTTCCTGCACCAGCCTCCTGAGAGCTGAGATGCCAGGTGTGCACCACCACGCCTGGCTCGAGGGCAGATCTTTAGGCTTCCTGTTCTGTCTACCCTTATAGTTGGCACTGTGCTGTAAGGAAGCACTCTCCTTTCTCTCGTGTGCTGTACTGATTTTCACAGCTGATGATGTGTGTGTGGATTCGGGGATTGTCACTTCCTCTGTGGAGTGATCTACTCTGTCTCCATGTGCTGCTTGCCAGTGGCACCTTCATCCTCCTCGGGGCCTGGCCTCGAACCCTGCATCCCGAGCTGCTCCAGCTGTGGAATCAGACATTTCTCCAAAGACTGTGTGGCCCTTAAAAAAAAACTAGTTATTTTCCAGTTATTTGCTGCTGAGGCCTTCCTAGGGCTGATGTGTGCTTTATAAAACCAGGAGGTTTTGATAAGGCCCATGACAGGCCCGGAGTGGCATGTGAGCCAGAGGAGAAGGGAGCTGTGTAGATGTCAGGGTTTGTGGGATGGGGGATCACGGCCAGCCTGCCCTGCATCTGGCTGAGGGCCCCCTGTGGGGCCCTGTCCTTCAGTGTGGCTGAAGTAAGACATGGAGCCAGGACGCCCACGGTTGCTGTGTCCCTGCTGGCCCTGTGCTGTCCGTGGCTTGGAGTCAGCCTCCTGCTTGGAGCACACAGGTGTGGCTGGGCCTGGCCTGGGTGCTGCAGCTCATGGGTGGGAATGCTGGGCAGCACTGATCCCTGGCCAGGAGGGTGGGGGCTGTCTGCAGTGAGCACACTGAGTGCGTGAGTCTCAGTGGGTGTGAATTCAGATTTGATGACCTCAACAGGAGCAGTGGCTTAGTCTTTGTGACATGTCCCCTGGTCTGGAGTAGCCCATGGTGGCTGGTACCTTTTTCATCTTTTTTTTTTTTTTTTTTTTTAACCTTTTTTATCTTTGCTGGTGGTGCTGGAGATGGAACCCAGGGCCTCTTGTCAGGTGCTGTACCACTGAGCTATGTCCCCGGCCCTTTTAATTTTTTGAGACATCTTGCTAAGTTGTCCAGGCTGGCCTCAAACTCGAGATCCTCCTGCCTCAGCCCCCTGAGTAGTGAGGATTATAGGCATGTCCCATGGTGCCCACCTGGATGGTGTCTTTTGAAGTGTTCACAAACCTGCCTGGGTTGGGCTACCTGGTCCACACCTGCACACGGGAAGCCCTGAGCCAGGCCTGTGGCTGCCCAACGTGTGCTCGATGGCAGTGTGGATGGTGGCACTTGGCCCTGCTTCCCATGCCCACCGAGTGTCCCTGACGTGCCCTGCCCAGTCCAGTGCTGGCTTTTAGACCTCCTGTTTCAAAGGCTCATAAAGGAAGTGTTTGTTGAGTCCTGTTGAGAGTGTACTTGAAGGATGAAAAGTGGGTGTTGAGTTGTGGGATCATTCGTGTAGTCTCCTTTGATCTGATGACGTATTTTGCTGACATGCATGAGGCTGGACTCTCCTTGCTTTCCCAGCATGAACTGTGCATTGGGCCACACTGTCACTGCACTGTGTTTGGGACAGATGGTTATGAGGGACGCCCCCCAGGGCAGGGGGGCACTGCTGGGTCCAGCAGCAGCTGGGGACAAGCTCTGGAGAGCTGTGGAGGGTCCTTCAGGAGCTCTGTTCTCGTTTCCTTGGGCATCTGTTTCTGCGGGCATCCTGATCTGACTGTCCCCCTGGGCGAAGCTGACTGCCGTGGCTGTCCCTCTTGGTGGGGCTCTCTCCAGCTTGCTGTTATCTGCTCTCGCACGGTCTGTTTTGGCCTCTCGCTCCCAGGGCTGGTGTCCTTGGTGGCTGCTCACCTTGGGGACCCCGAGCAGTACTGGAGCTGTGCAGGGGATAAGGTGCTGGCTGTGTGCGGGATTTCCCTGGGGTGAGGTGGTCCAAGCTGCCCACTCCTGCACTGCTCAACTCAGGGCCTCTGAGCCCCCTTCATGGTCGTCCCATTTCAGCCTGGCCTCTGCACGGGGAAACCTGAGCTTCAAGGGGCTGGAGCCCAGGTGGGAGGGGCATTCAGCTGCCGGAGCAGCCCTGAGGATGTGGGGGCTCAGCAGCCGCTTCTGGGGTTCAGCACCCCCAGCCTGGCTTCCTGGCAGGTTCCCAGCTTCTAAGATGTTGCTGACGTTGCCTCCTCTCCTGCTCTTGGCCCACTTTCGGAGCAGGCAGTGCACGCCTCTGAGGCTCTACCCCTTCTCCAGAAGTCCTGTAGTAGAAGCTGCAGGGGAGGGCGTGCGGGGTAGTTTTCAGTGGGAGGGTGTTTCTCAGGCAGACATGTCCATCACATTTTGTGCACATGCAGAAACAGTTCCCTGTGTGGTCATGGGACAATTTCTCTTTGCAGAGACTCACAGCTCTGAGGAGCCTGTGGAGATGTGTCGCCCCTGTGAAAATGGACACATGACCCTGAGAGTGAGCTCAGACCCCGTGATGGCTGGGGCCATCTGACAGCTGGTGGTCTCATCGGTGTGGATGGAGCCAGGGCCTCAGCCATGGTCACACTCATCACTGAGAAGCTGCAGAACCAGAGTCTGGATGACCTCAATCGCAAAACCCGCGAGGCTGGCCCGGTGAGTCGTCGTGGGCCCTAGAGGCAGAGTGCTGTCTGCCACGTGGGGTCCGGGGGGTGAGGGAGCTGGGTGGTGGTGGCCGACAGGGTGCAGTGTGCAAGCAGCTGTCACCACTGCAGAAGCGTCCGAACTTGGAATGGGAAGCTGAGCACATGGGGCCCCCGGCATCACCAGCGCACACGTGGACATCTGGGCTGTCTCCACTCCTCACTGTGGTGGGTGACTCTGCGGTCAGCACACACACAGGGGTTGTGAGTGGACTTGTGTTGTTGTTCTTGGGGCCGTTGCTGTCTCTTCACATCGTGAGGGTAGCTGACCTGCTTTCTATAGCAGCTGTACCATGTGTGTTCCCCAGCAGGGCACAAGGGGTCTGATTTCCTCGCACCATCTTGGCATATTTGTTCCTGTCCAGCTTATGATTGCAGCAGTCCTGGGGGTGTGAGGTCCGTCTCACTGTGACTCGTTGTACTTGGTCTTGAGGTCCTGGACATGCACCGAGGACCTCGTGCCTGCTAAGGCAGCAACTTGCCACTGAGCCACATCCCCACCCCTTGTGTTGCTTTCTGTCTATTTTGACACAGGGTCTCGCTGAGTAGCCCAGGCTGGCCTCGAACTTCCGATCCTCTGACAGCCTCTCGAGTGCTGGGCCTGCACAGAGTGTGTCCCAGTGTGCTTTTCATTCGTGTTTCCCCAGCAGCTAGCGATGAGCATTTTCTCTTGTGCCTGTTGTCAGCTGAATGACTTCTCTGGAGAATATCCTTTGGGACCCTTGGTTCATTTACAGATGGGGTGGTTTCTCTTTATTGCTGGGGGAAGTGGGAAGTTCCTTATATATTCCGGATCTGGTTCCTTAAAGATGCATGATTTGTTGCACTCTCTCTCATGCAGGGTGTTGGTGTTTTCACTCCCTTGATAGTGTCTTGGACGCACAGAAGTTTTCATTTTTTTTGTTTTTTCGTACCAGGGATCGAACTCAGGTCCTTGTGGTTGCAAGGCAGGCAGTGGAACCACTGAGCTACATCCCTGGCCCAACAGAAGTTTTCATTTTGATGAAATCCATTTGATCTGTTTCTTCTTTGATTGTGTATGCTTGTAGGGTCATATACAGGAATCCTTTGCCAAATGCGAGGTCATGAGGATTTATTCCTATAGTTTTCTATTTCCAGAGTTGGGAAATTAAAAATTGAACCCAGGGCTTTCATACTGAGTTACATCCTCAGCTCCTGTTTAAATTTTTGAGACATGGGCCGGGGATTTAGCTCAGTGGTTTCGCTGCCTTCTATGCAAGCTCAAGGACCCAAGTTAGATCCCCGGTACCAAAAAAAAAAAAATTTAAAATTTTGAGACAGAGTCTCCCTAAGTCATTAAGTTGCCCGGGCTGGGCTTGAATTTTCCTGCATCAGCCTCCCAGAGTGCTAGGATTGCAGATATGTGCAGGATCATGCCTGGCTGCACCTGTTTTCTTTGAAGAGTCTATGGTTTTAGCTCTGACATGTAGTCCTTGATCCATTTTCAATGTGGTATGAAATAAGTGTACACTTATATTTTTGCATGAAAACAAGCTGTCTGGTATCCTTTGTTGAACAGACTATTTCTTCCCATTGAACTGAAAAAGAATTTTGGCATCCTTGTCAGAAGTTTTCTCCCTCTCTCTCTCTTTTGCGATACTAGAGATTGAGGCCACAGGCACTGTGTCACTGAACTACATCCCTAGCCCTTTTAAAAAATTTTTTATTTTGAGCTGAGTGTGGTGGTGCTCGCCTGTAATCCCAAATTCAAGGTCAGCCTGGGATACACAGTGAGTTCAAGGCCAGGCTGAACTACATAGGTGGACCTTGTCTCAAAAAAAAAAAGTTTTTATTTTGAGACAGGATCTCAGTAAGTTACCCAAGCTGGCCTTGAACTTGCAGTGATCCTCTTGCGTCAGCCTCTGTAAGTGTAGGGATTACAGGTGTGCACCACTGTACCCAGCAAAAATTTACATTTTTTTTTGGTGCCAGAGATTGAACTTGGGACCTTGTGCTTGCCAGGCAGGCAGTGGAACCACTGAGCTAAATCCCTGGCCCCAAAATATACATTTTTAAAGCTAAGTCTTTGAAACTAAGTGTGTATTTTGCATTTACAGAAATCTCAATTTGTTTGGTTTTTGCTTTTTTTGTTTTGTTTTTTTGCCGTGCGGGGGATCGAACTCAGGACCTTGCACTTGCTTTCCTGGCTGGCACAGTGCCACTGAGCTGAATCCTCGGCCTGTTTCGGGTTTTTGAGACAAAGCCTTGGCTGTGCGTCAGGCTGGCCTTGAACTCGCTGTGCAGCCCAGGCTGGCCCCAGGCTTGTGTCCTCGTGTCCTCTTGCCGTGGTCTCCTCAGTGCTGGGATGAGGCCACTATACGCAGCTTGCACATCTCACTTTGGGCCATACATTTTTATTACAAACAATAAAAACAATAAAAATTAATTGCAGAAGTATTTGACCATGTGCCATGGAGATGTGTGGGGTCCGTGTTGTCCAGACCCAGCATGGCTGCAGTGGGGGGCTGATGAGCTGGGCTGATTTTGGTGCGGTGTAAGTTTAAGTTGTGGCAGCTGTGTGCTGGATGGCACACACAGCACAGTCTCTGGTTTTGCCAGTAGCAGCCTTCAGCTGACATGAAGGCCCTCGGGTCTCCTCATGGCCACGCTGCCCTCCCTGCCTTCCTCCCGGGTGGCCCTTGGTCTTCTCCACCCTGTGGCTGCCTCATTTCTGATCTGATCTGAGCCACATAACCTATGGCCTCTGGGGTTGGCTCCTCACTTCCTGTAAGTGCCCGAGCACCATTGGGCTTGTGGGGTCTCCAGTTGGCTGTGCTTGTGTGTTCTGCGGCTCGGGGAATGGCTGTGGTGTGCGGGCACCTGCGTGTCAGTGCATTCCCTGGAGGGTGGGTGAGTTCTGACATCCTGCACTGGCCCCTCTAGGACGTGGCAGGCTGCTTAGCCTGGAGTTTGGGTTTGTGTGATCATGCACAGCTTTAGGTTAGCGGAAGTGCTGCCCGCCCTGAGGAGGACGGACTTGCTGGTGGCCAGTGACCACAGATGTGATAGCTGATGAGGACAGTGTGCCCATGGCCTCACTGACACTGGAGCAGTGCTGATGAGGGACAGGGCAGGCGGGGCTGTGTGCTGGAAGGGGGTAAGGACAAGTTGGGGGCCGTCACACAGACCAAGCCCTGGGGCATCTCTTGAGAGCAGGCGGCAGCAGCCAGGAAGCTGTAGGTCCTGAATTTCCCCTGTGAGTTGAGGCTTCTGCCTGTGCCCAGACCTGCTTTGGTACGGGCCTGTGGGCCTGGCTGCTCACCTGGGAAGCAGGTGGTGAGGGGGTAGGAGGAGTCGCTGTGGTGTGTTTGTGAGGCACTGTGCTCGGGGCGAGTGAGGGCCAGGGCCTGGCTGTGACTTTGGATGGAAGGGCCTGATGGCAACTGGAGGCCTCGTGGCTGGGCCCGGGCTCAGAGCAGAGTGGCCACATTTCAGGGAGTGCAGCAGCCCCTGGGCCGGGGGCTGGAGAGGGGCAAGGGGGTGACAGGGCCCGGAGGGAGCAGGGAGAGCTGCCAGCCAGCCAAGGCCACCAGAGTTGGGGCTAGTCCTCGGCGGGTAGAGGGGAGAGGAGGTGTAGTGAGCTAGACTGGGGGCAGGAGGTACAGGCAACTTGCCTACCCCTGTCCTGAGTGGGCATGGCACGGGCAGGTGGTACCCTGTGCATGTGCCCACTGTGCCCAGCTGCGCAGACACAGGCTCGGACGGGCTCAGAGTAGGTCTGTGGTCCACACCTCTGCAGTGTCTCCCAGGGAAGGTACAGACGCTGCTGGGTCTCATCAGGGTGCCTGGTGAGGTGGCCGGTATGCGGCCCCTGCCCTCCTGCAGTCCCAAATGTCAGATCCCAGTGCATACCTGGTTGGTCACCAGCATGGACCCAACCCACAGTGAAGTGAGGAGTACTTCGTGGGACGTGTTTGGCTGTGCTGTAGGGCCCTCACGTGTGTATGCCTTGATTCGGTCACCCCGGGCCAGATGCAGGCCTGTGACCTCCTTGAGCCATCTGTGGGAGTCACTGGAGCGGGCCAAGAAGGCCCAGTCCTTGCCGAAGTCTGTCACTTTAGGGTGGGTGTTGTTCTGCTGTGCACTGGGGACGCAGCCCTGGGGAGGCAGGCTGTGAGCAGCTGTGCCTGTGGTCCTCGTACTTGTTCCAGGGAGTGGAGGGGTAGAGAGCATTGGCCTCAGGCCTGGAGGATGTGCAGCCACAGCAGAGGCCGGTGGCTGCCCTGACAGTTCACACCATGGCATGAGTGTCTGCAGGTCCTGTGCCAGCCGGAGCCTCTAGTAGTGTGCAGGGCCGCTTTCTCCTCTGTGCCTCTGAACTTGAAGGTCACCTGGTGTCTGTGCCCGCGCCAGTCCCTGTGTGGCCAAGGACTTGCTCCACACAGCTGTCCCCAGTGACCTGTCTGCACAGCATGTCTCTCAGTGTGTCTTTCTCTGGGTCACAAACCCAGCTTCTATTCCTCACGTGAAGCATGAGACTTTGTGGGGCAGAATTGTAGCCCAGGAAAAGCCCTGTGCAGCTTGCCAGCGTGCCCTCCTGCCGGCTCTCGAAGCTGCCTCCGTGCCTTCCTGCCCTCCTGAGGAGGGGCCCTGCCACCTGGATACCTCCCAGCACTGGGCGCCCTCGCAGCCTGGCTCGGGGCACGGATCCTGTCAGCTGTAGTGACCAGGAAGGCCTTTCCAGGGTCCTGGCTTGTGCCTGCATTGGAGAGTGGCGAGGTGTGAGGCGTGAAAGCTGGTGTGGCTCAGGCCGGCTGGAGGAGGGTAGTGGAGTGAAGGCAGAGTGTGGTGGTTCTGAAGAGCAGCATGCAGTCCCTCAGCGAATCTTGTTAGGTTTTAGAAAATCTCCATTCAGAAATCTGTACCAGAGTTCAGTGCTTCTCATTATTATCATCAGAGAGTGTGTTAGGAGAAATTGAATTTATTGCAGTGATAAAAACGTAGGGATATTTCTTCTCTGTGCATTTTCATGTGTATGTCACAGCCCTGAAACTTCTCTTATCACTTTCAGTGTTCTGCCGAGAGACTGACCAGGAGTGGCCTCTTGTTCCCTTTGGAGGTCAGTGGTAAGTGTCCGGGAAGCCCGGGAGCTTCTCAGGGCTGGGGAGGCTGCAGACGACAAGGTGAGAGTGGCCCAGGCTAGGAGGGGTCTTGGGACTGGGTCCAGGGTTCGCCTCCACGTGAGGCCTGGGACCTGTTGTGTCCTTCATGACACTGCCATTGTCTTCCCCACCAAAGGGCTGGGGTCTGGGCAGGATGGGTTGGGGTCAGGCCCAGGGCAGCCTCTCCCTTCTCTGCCAGTGGCAATCTGGCTGGGCCAGGTGTACCTCTGGAGGCACGGGGCCCACCGTGTGACATCCCGTGACCACAGGGAGAGTCATTGCAGCACTGCGTGGTACGTGCAGGCCGGTCTGATGTCTGTGCGTGGAGCTTGTCCCTGCTGCCGTCGTGGGCTTATGAAGCCCATGCTCCTGGTACACAGCATCTCTGGTCCTGTCCAGCCAAGGCAGGGTTGGGTCACTGTGGCTCTGACTGGCTGGTGTCCACAAGCAGCCTCTGCGTGATGGCATGGCAGGAGGCTCCCTGGGCTGCTAATGTGAAGGACTGTGCTAGACACGCTCATAAGTGGGTGGAAGCAGGAAGTGCGAGTGCCAGCCAGCCAGTCCCCACCGCCCCCTGGCCTCCTGGGGTCCATTCTGTGCACAGTTGGCAGACTGACAGCCTCCACCCTCACTCAGGGCCCCTCAGGGCTCTCTTACTCCTCTCTTCCTGTCTTCTGACCCCAGCCTCATCCTGCCTCCCTGGGACTCCCTGGCACATGGCTTTCCCCAGTGGTGGACCTGCTTGTCTCTCATAAGTCCCCACAGCTTCTGCTCCACGTCCCTAGCTGGACAGTAACTGCGGAAGCAGCAGAAGAGGCCCAGGGGCTGCTGGACTCCTGCCCAGTGAATGTCTAGGAACCTGCAGGGCAGATCAGAGAGCATCCAGGCTCACGGCCCAGCTGCCTCCATGTGAGGAGACTCACAGTGCTGAGTGTGCATGTGAGCCACTCCAGGTGTCAGCGCCCACAATGGCTGGACAGGAGGAATGGCAGCCAGTTCTGTGGGGGCTCTAATGGCCCACATGCGGTCTAGCACCAGGCGGGGCCCGGGTACAGGCAGTTGTAGGGGAGACAGGGCCCTGGCCTGCTGAGGCTGGGAGTGTTGCTGGAGCTTGAGGGACTAGGGAGGCCTGGCCTTCCTGGGCTATAGAAGGAGGCCTCTCCTCGGCCACTCAACACATGACACTGTCATGTACATGGCATCTCAAGGACCCCCAGCCACCTGCAGGTGTCGCCACCCTGTGTCTCAGTTGAGGAAGTGCAGGCTTCAGTGTTGGGGTCTCTCTTCCCCCGGCACGCTGTGGTGGGGGGCAGTGGGAAACCCTGTGGATGGGCATCCAGGCCAGGCCTCTGCCCCACTGGTGTGGTGAGGTTCAGGTCTGCACAAGAGGAAAGCACGGGCTGGCTCTGCCGTAGTGGGAAGGTGCATGGCTGTCAGAAGCAGGCCGGGGATCCTGGTGGTGAGGGTGCACCCCTAAGAGGCCGGTGGGGACAGAGTAGTGGCATTTGGGTGACTCAGGGTGACAGCAGAATGGGAGTGAGGGCAGAGTGCAGTTGGTGTTTCCAGAGGCCTCTGGGGAGTGATGCTGGCACGGCTCCCTGAGACCAGGTTCTTCCTTTGGGAAGTGGAGCCAGCTCTGGTGCTGACTGCTGACAGGATCAGCAGTTATTTGGATGCATGTGCCTGTTCCCCTGCAGGGCCCGAGGGCCTCAGAGCAGGGTCTGGGAAGCCAGGCCAGTTGGCTTGTGCCCCGTGGGCTGGGCGGAGGTGGCTCTCACTCACCTGTCTTTTCTCCTGCCCTTGTGTCTGCTCAGTGGACAGGAGCCCCTGGAAGGCCTGTCGAGGAGGATGGCCTGCTGGAAGGCAGGCAGCCACAGGCCCTTCCCACCCGCTCCCACCAGCTCCCTGCAGTGCTGCTCAGGCCCAGGGTCTCCAGTGGCAGCTGGAGTCCCCAGGGCCGTGCACTGGCCTGGGTGTGGGCAGTGCCGTGGACCTGCGGGAGAGCACGGGGCCACCCACAGCGCCGCCGACCAAGCGGCACTGCCGATCCCTGTCCGAGCCGGAGGAGCTGGCCCGTTGCCGGTCGCCGTGGCGCCCCAGTGGCTCCAAGGTCTGGACTCCAGTCTCCAAGAGGCGCTGCAACAGCGGCGGGAGTGCCACGCTGCAACGCCGTAGCGGCCTTGGGGGCGCGGCCCTTCCCAGGAGCCCTGTGTCGCCCGCTGGCCCTGCTTCACCGCTGGTGCCCCGGCCGGCCTCAGCCGGCAGCGGCTTCATGGACAGCAGTGAGGGCAGCATGGGCTCGGAGCCATCCTGGCACGCCACAGGACCCTGCCTGCTGTCCTCGAGGCGCCGCTTGTCCCTGTCGCAGGAGCGCCTGGTGGATGCTGGTGCCCGCCTGCCCTCAGCCAGCAGCACCCCCAGGTCCACGCCCCAGCTCGGCTGGCACCACGGCCTGCTGCGGTGCCACTCCCAGCCCTGCGTGCTGGGCGGGAGGAGGAGCCGGCGCAAGCGCAGGCGGGAGGAGGACACCAGGTGGACGCGCCCGTCCTTGGACTTCCTCAAGATGACTCGGGTGAGGCTTCATTGTGTTTTCTGGGTGCGGGTGGACCTCGAGGTCAGGTTGCTGCTGGCAGGTGGCTGGGTGGTTTCTGTGAAGCCAGTCTCATCTGCCTGCAGGGCCGGTTAGGGTCCCACCTGGGGCCGAGCCCTGTTGAGGCAGGAGGAGCTATGCATGGTCCCTAAGCGGGCCAGCCTCCTGGGGTGGCTCACCTTGAGAAGCCCTCATCGCCTTGCTGGGTGGATGTGAGATCCATCAGGGGCCCCACCGAGGCCGACCCTGGCCGAGCCACACTCAGGATGTCCCTTCCCTTCTTGGGGACAGTTCCTTTTGAAGGGGCTTTCGAGTCCTGGTCTGGAAGTAAACTGGAACCGTGGAGGTCCTCTCATCAGTGCCTCTCCGCCTGCCTTTCATGAGCTCTTAGGAGTCAGAGGAGAGGAATGGAGTCGGGCCTGGGTTCCTGGCATGCTTTTGGGGAGGGCCCAGTCTATTTGGGTTTAGGCTGGGTGGGGAAGGAGATGGGAGTAGGGGGAACCACAGCAGCCAAGGCTGAGCTGGAGGCAGAGCTGTGTCCGCCTCCCTTCAGTTGCCTCACCAGCTCAGCCTTGGGCCTGACCTCTCCTTGCCCCTATGGGTGGGTGTTGCATCTGTCCTGGGGGCAGTGCTCAAGTGGCCTGTTGAGCCGTATGTCAGGACGGTACAGGCCTGCCGGAGCCAGGCATAGGAGCAGGGTGGCTAGCAGTTACTGTAGGATGCAGTGGGGCCTGGTGGATGCCTGCTTTGGGCCATGATGAGGTTACTATGAGGGGTGTCTCCTGGCTGGCCGATTCTCTGGAGGATTCTTTCTGGTGGACACCAGGTGGATGCGCTGTGGGGCTCAGTCTGGGGTCAGGAAGGAAGGCCCGATGGTGACATAGCAAGCTGCCCTCTGCTGGCAGGATGGGGCTGAAGAAGCTGGCTGGAGGGGAGCTGGTGGCTTGGTGGCTTCCAGGGCTGGGGACATGTTGATTACAGGGACTAACCCTGCTCTGGACCCCTTGGGAGGAAGGAGGATGCTTCGGATGGTTGTGACTGGGGTCAGGACAGGGGCAGGGGTGTCCCACAGGGTGAGCTGTAGCCGGGGCAAGGACTCAACGTGCCCCAGAGTGTGGCATGCTGCTGTGGCGCATGGGGATGTGTGGGCAGCTCTCGGCCTCCTGAGTGTGCTTTGCCTAGCTTGGAGCTTCTCCCTGGGAGGAGCCACAGGCCTGGAGCTGTGACTGCCAGAGCCCAGAGGGCTGTGGGATGAGCAGGAGGCCCTGGCCATGGACACCTTGCATTCATGTGGCCTGAGGGAGGCCCGGGCTGGTGACCAATCCTGGTGCGGGGCTCTCTGGTCCACTCCTCTCCCTCCCCAGCCCAGCTGTCTGCCCAGGCTCCCATAACCCTTCACCCAACACCACTTTCCTGCATTTCTCTGCCTCTGAGCTTGTCAGTCTTCATTCAATCGGATCTCAGCATCAGGGAGACTCTGAAGTAGAGACACAAGGTCGTCGGTAGTCACAAACTGCGGTGTGACAGCGGGAAGCGTCACAGCACTGGCCCTGCTGTTCTGTGGGCTGGGATGCGCTGCAGGACCTGCCTCCTGCCCCCTCCCATGTGTCTTTTCTGAAGGGCTGTGTGGGTGTCCTTTTTCCAGAGCCAGTGACCAGGAGGGGTACCAAGAGGGCCAATGCATCGCCCATGTGACCCAGTCCTCCTGGCACCCAGCAGGAGTGCTCAGGCCAGGCTTGAAAACCTCTTCTGTGCAGCGGTGCCTCGAGGGGCCGCGTCTCAGGGCAACTTTCCTTTTGCACAGTTGCTAGATTTGGGTATTCTCAGGTAATCCTGGTGTCTTGTCAAAAGCCTGCTGCATGGGGCTGGGGATTTAGCTCAGTAGTTCTGGCGCCTGCCTTGCAAGTGCAAGGTCTGAAGTTCGATCTCTGGTACAAAAAAAGCCTGCTGCTTGTCAGAGTTGAAGTGTGTTTTCTGCTCAACAGAGATGTGCATACGAGCTCTTTCTGAGACCCAGTGTACTCCTTAGCAGCACCGAGGGCAGTATGGGAATTTGTAGGAGTGTATTCTACATACCACACAAAACTCATGGAGCTTCTATTCTCTGAATGTTACTGGCATAGTCTTTCATAATTAAACTCACACCTCCAACTACTAAAAAGCAAAGTAATGGGCATGTGTGTCCCATTTCAAGGTTAAGTGGCTGACTTTGCCATGTTTCTTCAGTTTTTCTCTTTTTGGTACCGGGGATCAAACTCGGGACCTTGCAGTTGGGAGGTGGGCGCTGGAACCGCTGAGTTAAATCTCCGGCCCATTCAGTTGTTTTCTTTTCTTTTTTCTTTTTATTATTTAAATTCTTTTATTGGTACATTGTAGGTATACAACACATTTACATTTCTCATTGGGAACTTGTACCTTTACATGGTGCATCTTGGTTCTTATTTTTTCCCCATTCCCTCCCCTCCCTTCACCCCTCCACCCTTCCCTATTTACAAAGACTTTGTTTCCATTTTTTCCATTTCTCTCAGTTGTTTTCTTGATGAAGTCACACAGGTGCATGCAGCACCGTTCTCCTGGACACAGGCCATGTGGGGGGATTTGTTGCGTGTGATGCCACTGGCCTTGCGCTTGCCAGGCAGCCGAGGCACCGCTGAGCTACATCCCCGGCCCCTCTTGCAGTTATTTTGGAGATGGAGCCAGTCCTGCACCCAGCACCAGCTTGCTTCCCTTTCTGGTTGGAAGGGGGGCTGGGGGCATGGCATCGGGCATCTTCGTGTGTATTCTCAGCCCGATACTTGGGAAACTCGACTGTTCTAGATACACAAGAGTAGAACGTGATAGCGTCCAAGCTCTTCAGTGGCTTGACCCTAAGCTTTGGTGGTAAGGTTTCAGGTATTTGGGGGAGGCAGTGGGAGCAGCTTGCTCGTGGGGCATCCTGTGCATGGAAGAGGGGTGCCCTGAAGAGCTGTCTCCTTTGCACCCCGAGCTTGTACCAGCCCAGGAGGAGCGGCATCGCAGCCAGCATGTGGGGCTGCCCAGTGCTCACTTGCACGGCAGACTTCTGGGTGGCCCTGGGGCAGAGCAGGGCGCCTTGACTGCCCTGACCTGGGTCGGGATGTGTTGGGCGAGTGGTGGGTGGGTGAGGAGCCAGTGTGCAGGTGATGCAGAGCCAGGAGTTTTCACTTTCCAGACAGAAGCAGCACAGCAAAGCGACAGGGTCTCTGGGGACTGTCCTGGGTGGCCAGTCTTGCCTGCAGACAGTGTCATGCCCACAGCTTGAAATCCCCTCTGAGGTCCAGAGCCTGATGTGGAGCTGGGGCCAGGCCTCTGCGTCATGAGCTCTTGTGTGCTGTCCATGTGGCTGTGGGACCAGGCACAGGCCCTGGGGCTAAGCCTGGGTGTGAGGAGGCCAGGCAGCAGGCGGGGTGGGTGGCTATGTGTGGCTCGTGGCTCCTGCACCCTGGGCCTCGCCTCCCTTGCTGTGCTGTGCTGTGCTGTGTCCTGCTCTTAGTGCTGCAAACGCCGCCTTTGTGGAGTAGTAGGGGTTGCTGAGTAGCTGAGGCTTTTTAAATTTAATTTTTGTGTGTGTGTGTGTGGAATTGGGGATGAAAATCAGGACCTTGCACTTGCGAGGCCGGTGCGGCGCCACTGAGCTAAATCCCCAGTCCCTGAGGCTTCTTGCCAGAGCTGCACAGCTGTGGTCTAGGTGAGTCTGGTGTTAGGGCAAGAGGCTGACAGGACCCTGACAGGGGTCACCCTGACAGGACCCTGAGCAGCAGCTCCCGCACCTCTCGGGCCACCGTCTGTCTACAGGGTGGCTTCTGGACTGTGAGCCAAAACACTGTGGTCATTGAGGTTTTTTTTTTTGGTACCGGGGATTGAACTCAGTTCTTGCCGCTTGCGCAGCAGGTGGTGAAACCACTGAGCTAAATCCCCAGCCCCGCTGGTCATTGAGTTTTAAGATGTGGCTGCTCACAAAGTAGAGTCCCTGGGCTTGGCTCCTGCACTGCCCTGCAGGGACTGCCCTGTCCTGCATGACGCTGGACACCAGTGTGGGGTTTGCATATGAGAGACATGGATAATCAAGTTTACTTTGATTTAGAAAAAGAAATGATGTGACAAAATGTGGCCAATTCTGTCTTGAATGATTTGGTTCTTTAGAATATTCTCAGTATTCTCAATATTACTTTTATAGTTGAACAACAACAAAAAATATGGCAGTTTGTCTTATGGAAACAAGTAATTTTCTTAAAAATGCCAACTTCGGGGAGGTGCTCTGGCCTCCCTGGGACATGTGTGTGTGTTTGCTTCATGTTGCTGTGGGACTCTTTCCAGGCGCTTTGTAGCCAGAGAATAGACTTCCCATCATGTGACCATGTGGCTGCTCACAGCTCTGAGAAGGACGCCATCCGGCTCCTGGGGGCTGGGTGGCGTAGGGGTCATGTCACTCCTGTCCCAGCGTTGCTGTGTGTACTGTCTCCTGTGTCACGGTGCCCAGCATCCTCAGGCCCGTCCATGGCGGTGTCTGTGGCTCAGGAGCGCAGCCCAGCCTGAGCCTCAGCAGGCGGCACCCAGGCAGGGGAGGCCGGAGGAGCCGAGGTACAGTGTGCAGGGCGTGACGGATGGGCCTGAGCTCTGCAGGACAAGGGATGTGAGGCCAGGCTCAGAGGTAGCACCGGTAACTAAACCCGGGCATCCCAGGGGTTGTGGTACAGCCTCAGGGGCCATGTGGGAGCATCACCCCAGTGGACAGGACTCTGTGGCCAGAGAGCTCAGCCTGGAGGCGCAGCCTGGAGGCTGAATTGATGGGCAGAGCACAGAGGAGAGGGCAGCACAGCCAGAGGAGGAGGCTGTGCCACCTGGTAGCCGGGGCAGGGTGTGTGCCAGGCAGCCCCTTCTGGATGTGTCCGTCTTAGATGTGAGATGAGGAAGCTGTCCACAGGCTGCGTCTGAACACTACATCGCAGGAGCAGGGAGGAAGGTGGGGCTGGCTGAGGGGTGGGACTTGGGACAGCGTGTGAGCGAGTGCTGAGGTCCAGGGCTGACAGGAAGGCAGCCAGGAGGAGCATCACCCTGGTCCTCAGGGGAGGTTGTTGGAAATGGGGTACCTGGGCTCTTCCCTGGGCCTGTTTGCTGCATACGAGACTAAGTATGAGGCCTGTATGGTGGTGCATGCCTGTCATCCCGGCACTCTGGGAGGCCGAGAGCTCAGCCTGGGCAACTTAGCAATACCCTGCCTCAAAATAAAAAATAATAAAAAGGGCTGGAGACCTACATCTATATGCAAAGGCCCTGGGTTCGGTCCCCAGTCCTGCCTCCCCACCCACAGAAGAGAGAAAAGTGCGGCCTCCAGAATGCAGCCCACACTGAATTCCCTGGCACCCAGCTCTCACCAGGTGCCAACCCTGACGAGCTGGGTGCCCTGGGGCGGGCACAGCGGGTGCCATGGAAACCCACCGCAGGGAGCCCAGGGCTGGGCCGGTGCTGCCTCTCAGTAGGCTACAGAGCACGCTCAGCCTGTGTCTTTTCTGTTGCAGACTTTAAAAAACTCAAAGAGCCTCTGCTCGCTGGACTACGAAGATGACGACGAGGATGACACCCAGGTGAAGACAGTTGTGTCATCCCCGTGCGATTCGCAGGGCCTCATGGGCATCGTCACACCTGGCTCCAGCCGGAGGGCTGCCCGGCCCTCCCCCGCCAGCCCGTGGACCTCGGAGGAGCCCGAGGCTGGCGAGGGCGAGGGTGGGAGCAGTGAGGACCCCAGCGACTGGGACAGTGCCGGTGAGGAGGGTGTCTTCCCCCTGGAGCACGGCGACCTGGACCTGGAGCAGATTGAGAACAACTGACCTGGCCGGGCTGGTGCCTGCCTCCTCGGCCACAGAAACCGTTTCTTGCTATTTTGAACTTTGAGACTTAATTTTGGCTCAGTTTTCCTAAAGAAGTATTTTGCATTTTTATGGCTTTTACAGTTCAGGGAGAGCTTCTCTATTTTGAAATGAATTTTCGGATGGGCATCGTGTTAAGCGTGAGTCAAGCTGTGGTCCTTTCTAAGAAGTCTACTGTGAAGAGCGGGTGGGGGTCGCTAGGTCCCTGGGGTGGGTGGTCCAAACCCTCCTCTGGGGTCACCGCTCTGGGCCTGTCTGTGGGCGATTCTGCCCATGGACCTGGTTATCCTGCACTGGCTTGGGCCGCATGGCCTCCCAATGCGGGGTGGCGCTGAGGACGCCACCCCGGATGAGGTCCTGTGGCTGTTCTGCTGGCGCCTTGTCTGTGAGTTCAATAAAATGTGTTGCTCTGTGGCCTCCCTGTCGGTCTGGGTTCCCGCTGTGGGGATGGGTGGCCTGCTGTCTTGGCTTGGTGCTGCTCAGGTCAGAAAACCAGGGATTTTCACAAGGCCTGATCTAAGAGATGGTACTGAGAGGCGGGCAACTGCGACCATGACAGGGAGCAGTCATCTTTGGAGAAGTTTTCCTTTCTCCCAGCAGGCCCAGGCTGCCCCTTGGGTTGAGTGCAGACTCAGGTGAGCGGGGCCCGGAAGTGAGTTGTGTTTCCGGGGCCAGGTTCTCCAGGGGCCGGTGTCCTGACACTGCAAGGTGTCTGCAGTGGCTTCCTTCCTATTACTGCCATGGATTGTTCTGCTGTTAGGATTCAGGCTACTGCCTGAGGGACCCTGAGCTGGCAGAGGTGCACACAGGCCATCCTGGGAGGGGGGCGGCAGCTCAATGGACAGGGCTGGTCGCATAGAGGCCTCCCGGGCTCGGTTCCAGCACAGGCTGTCCCCCGAGTGGTGGCCCCCCCCAGGGTGGGCATCCGGGGCAGGGACCGTCCCACTCCGGGCGGCATTGTGTGGTGGAGTCGGCAGCACCGAGCCCCCACCCTGTGTGGGACCCTGGCCTGCTGGGAGGACCAGACTTCCGCTGTCACCCTCCGGGGCACAGCTCCCGCGTGTCCAGCATCACCAGCGGGATGGTGCCCAAGCCGGGAGGTCCCCCTGCTTAGCTCCTGCCCGGGCGGTGGCCCCTCACAGTGGTTTGCAGCCCTCGTCAGCAGGCCCTCCTTGGGAGAGACAGGCAGCTTCGTTCTGTCCCCCGCCTGGCCCATGTGCGCTGGGCTCTGCCTGTGGAGCCGCCACACTCTGGCGCCCAGATGCTGCCCTGGCTTCTCTGCCCCTGGCAAGCCCGAAGCCCCTTCTTCTGCACTCCAGGCCCTGCCTCTCCTGCTCCTGCGCACCCCGCCCTGCCCTGCTTGGCACCTCAGCTGGTGTGGGGCATCCTTGGGTGGCGGTGACACCTGCTCTCCTCCACTCAGGCCACCTGCCCTTTGCTGGAGCCGGCATTAGCCCTGCTGTACTCTCGCCTGCACGACCCTCTCTTGTCCATCCCTGCCTGAGGAGGCCCGGACAGAGTGCCAGTGGCCAGTGTCCCTGAGGCTCTGGCCCCCAGGGCCCTTTCCTGAGCAGGCCCCGCCCTCTAGTGTTCCCCTGTGGATGCCTCTCCCTTGGGGATGGAACCCAGGGCATTCTACCCTGAGCTACATGCCCAGCCTTCCTTATTGTTTGAGACAGGGCCTCCTTGAGCTGCCTACGCTGACCTTGAACGGGAGACTTCAGCCTCACTGAGTAGCTGATGTCACAGGTGTGCACCGCGACACCCGGCCGTCCAGTGGTGGCATTGAGCACATGCACACTGCCGCGCAGCTGGCAGTGCCATCTGTCTCCAGAACTCTGCATCTCCAGAGCTGGAGCTTGGTGCCCGCTCAGCACAGCCCCGCCTGCTCTGACCCTGGGCCCTGGTGGGTGAGGTGAGCAGCTCTGTGCTGCCTCTGTCTCCTTCCTGGGCAGCCTGTTATCACCCTCCTGCCCTGCTACTGCTGTCCACCACGTTCCTTTCCAAGGGGAGGCCGCCTCTGTTTGCTCTTTGTCCATCCTTGCGAGAGGCATGGAGTCCTGCCGCTCTGGGCCTCCCCATTGCCCTGAGGACAGAGATGCCCACTTGGGCCCTGCCCACCCCTGCAGGCCACTTGCGCACTCCTGGGCTCCCTGCTCACTCCCTGCTTAGCTGCGAGCCATCCTCAGACCCGCTGCACACAGGGCATCTACTCTGCAGCCTGGGAGGCACACAGAGGGGGCACATGCCCGCGGCAGGGCAGGCTCCCCAGAGCTGTGGTGGGAGCAGCCACCCCACAGCGCCACATCGGCACCTGCACCTGAGATTCCAGCTCTGCCCAGGACCCTCGGCGGGTGAGGTATGGGGCGCCTGAGCCTTGGTCAAGGGTCTGGGGAGTCCCAGTCCAAGTGGCCTTCAGAGCAGGTGTCTGCTGGGCCCTCTGCTGGTTGGGGCTGAGGGTAAGCTAGAGGGCTGCCATGTGCGTGGGGCCGAGCCTGGGGACATGGCTCTTCCCTGCAGCGTTGCTCGCCTGTGGCCTTGGGTCCATCTGGCCAGGCTGTCTCCCTGGCCTGGCCCGCGTGGCTTGCGTGGCCTATGGGCTCTTCTGGGCTTTGGGGTGCACCCGGGGGCTGTGAGCAGATTCCTCAGCCGCCGGGCCTGGTGTGGTTGATGGCCTAGCTGTGGGGTCCCCACTTCGGCAGTCAGCCTGGGGTCTTCAGGTGGAGGTGGCCCTGTCGAGCACACGTGGCTGGGGGAGGGGACCTGAGCTCGTGCTGACCCTCGTGGCCAAGACACCTGAACCCCGGCTCTCAGGCACCTGCCTGCTCACTCGTCAGGGGCATCAATGGCCGGTCCTGGGCAGTGCTCTTGACTAGAGGCAAGAGTGGGAGGGAGCAGGGGAGGCATGTTCTATTTAGGAAGTGGCCAGTGCAAAGGCCCTGGGGCAGGAGGCAGCAAGGAGGTCTAGGGCTTCAATGGAGGGATGGAGATGAAAAATGAGATAGTAAAATGAGTTCATGGATCAGTAACTAAGTGAAGGAAGATAAAAATTTCCAGTGAATGGGGAAAAAACATAACTTTGGCTGTTCCCAGAAGTTTCTGCTATAGCAAAACCGGACTGAATTACAAGAAATGTGTAAGTCTACTACTCTAGCAGAGATTCGGGTTGTCCCTAGTAGTTAATTGGTCAGGTGGGCTCAAGGCAGTAAGGTCACAGCTCTGGCCGCTGTGGTTCATGAGCTTGAGCGGACGGTGTCCCTGGCAGCCCGAAGCACACTTTTCCCGGGACACGTGGGACCTGCTCAAGTTTGGCCTTGCCCAGAACAGAGGGAAGATGCCAGGACCTTTCAGGGACTTGATGTTACATACATCCCACTGTCTGACCACAGCTCAGTAACAAAACTGTGGCAAATTAAAACCTCCTGTGTAGAAAATACCAAAGAAGTGTACTTCGTGTAACTCATGGGTCAAAGAAGAAATCATAATAGAAGTTAGGAGACTCAGTGCTGGAGATCCAGAAGATGCTGCCCACCCGAGGTCGCAGCAGGAGGGAATTTATAACCTTAGAAGATGTTGAAAAAAGTGGAGAATTAATGAACGCAGCCTCCAGTTTCAGAAATCAGGACAGTTTGGCAAAGCTTTTCTTCTAAAGCACAGAGAGTAGATTCTTAGGCTTTGAAGACCACATGTGATCTGACCTGAACACGACTCTTTCCCTCTCTTCCTCCTCTTTAACCCTTGAAAAATGCGGCCACCACTCTTAGCACTTAGCCTGTACACAACCAGGCAACTTAGTCCCCAGCTGTCATTGTGACCCCTAGATTGGGGAAAGAAAGGTTAAAGCCTAAGAGAAGGGGAGAGAGGAGCTCATGTGCGGACAGCAGGCCACAAAGCCAGTGGGCAAGGCAGCACGCCTGATCCCACGTGCCTCAGTTGGGGCCAGAAGATGGCAGTCCAGGCAGCCTGCGTGACTTCGCAGGACCCTGTGCCAGATGAAATAAAAAGGGCTGGCGAATGTTGTTCAGCACTTCCTAGGTTCAATTCCCAGTACAGCCAAAAAACAGACAAAAACGTAACAAAAGAAATCATGACACTGACAGCAAAGACCCATAATCCTCATCTTTGATAGACTAAGAAATTGGCAAATACCAGTTGAGCTTAACTGGAAAAAAGAACGAGCAAATAAATATTAATAGGCGTAAAAAGATGGGCAAAAACCATACAGGTCACAGAGGTCATCAGATAATGAGAGATCAGGAGCAACTTGGAGGAAGTGGACAAGTCCCTGGAAGAATATTGCCAAAAACCAACTCAAGGAGAAAGACAAATAGTCCTGTGACTACTGAACAGAGCAAAACAGTAGTTCAAAATTTTCCTGCCAGGCCAGGCATGGTGGCGCACGCCGGTGGTCCCAGCACTTGGGAGGCTGAGGCAGGAGGATCACTGTGAGTTCCAGGGCACTGAGTTCAAGGGCATCCTGAACTACATAGCAAGATCCTACCTCACCCCCCCCCCCAATAAAAAATAAAATCTTCCTACCAAGAAAACACAGCCCCAGATGGTTTTGTAGGCAAGTTCTATAAAACATGAGCAAATTCTGATCTTTTGCAATTTCTCCCAGAGGACCCTCTGGAAGATGGCACAGGATCTCAACATGGAAATGGGACAGAGTCGCTGGCCTGTGGGGGCCGTTGCTGGCTGGGGCGGTGGTTAGGAGCCCTGGTTTTGTGCCCTGTGAGCTGAATCTGACAGGAGCACGGGCTCTCCTTTGTGTCTGGACAATGCTGAGGGTCTGTGGGGACAGCAGTGGGGCACGGCAGAGACCTCTGCACACCTTCCTCCTCCACAGACCCCAGGCTGGCTGAGCCTGAGCAGCTTCTGGTCTCCCCACAGACCCAGCCAGGGCCGCACCACAGAGCCACCACTGGGCTGCACCTCCAGCGCAGCCTCTGGCCACAGCAAGGCCCCGCCTGCTGCCTGAGCCCCTTGTCTTCCTGGCCCCCAGGAGTGGCTCCTGGCCGGCTCTTCCTGACCAGTGGCCCCTCTCCATGCCCTGCTGTGTCCCCAGGTTCTTTGGCCCCCCAGCCCCTCAGCTGTGGCCTGGTCGCTGAATAGGGGTTCTGGCTATGTGTCATACTGGACAGGAAGTGGGTCCCACATCTGGAGCCCTGACCATGCGTCTCTTCCACGTTGCTACTGATGGATATAGGTGTTTTTTTTTAACGTCTCTTTAAGTTAATTTTGTTAATTTATATTGTCTTAGAAAATTGTCAATGTCAAGAATAGCAAATGTATTGACTTGTCACTTTCAGTCTCCTTTGCTGTTCTGGCTTCCCTCCTCCTCGGTCCTCATGGGCTTTGGTGTTTTCTCTCTCTCTGCTGATTTTATAAATTTATTTATTTATTTAGAAGAA